GGTTTCGTTTCGCGATAATGGCTGGCTGGGTGGGCCTTCCGGACCTCCAGGCCTTCCATGTCCGGGCTTATGCTCGTGTCCGTGTCCGTGGCCATTAGGCATTTTATTGTAATCACCTTTCTCTGAGTGTTGATCCTGGTTTGGACAATGACTTTCCTCCTTGCCTCCAAAATTGTGATAGTGACAATGACCGGGCCGGCTGTGATGTCCATCTCCTCTTGAAGGTGGCTTTCCGCCTATCATAGCGCTGTAGCCACTATAAATACCTGTGGCATTTGCTAAGAGCAGTAATGAGATTGAGATATGAAGACATTTACGATAGCCATACCAGCCCATATCTCCACAAGAACATCCTCCATTGGTTCGCACGTCGTTACGTCGATGACGGATATATCGAGAGTCAGAGGGACGCCACTGAGAAAATATATAGGAATGAGAAGGCCGTCGTCAAATATTATGCAAAGAGACCCACAGTTGGCCTTCAGTGAGATTATTTCTTATCATCTCGTTGTTAATGTAGTATGGGCCCTCCATCGCTTCGGGAGCCAGAACACAGGTTGAGCTGCTCAAGATTAATTTTGACAAGAGATGAATCGAAACCATCTTCGCTTACCTTTCGAAACTCGATGGCTCAAGAACAGCCTGCATTTGGGAGCTCGGAAGGCTTCGCTTAGCCTTACGCCTGAGTTTATGAGACGCAATGCTTTCAGCGCAACTTCGGGCTACAAGGTGACGTTTTGCAGCAGACTCCTGGACAATGCCCGGGTGAATTTTCTCATGGGTCGTGCATTACGGTACATACTTTACGGGCTACGAGCTCTCTGGCAGAGATAGGTTCATGGTTTGGATGACCTGTTATGACAGGTAAATTTGTTGAAGCGAAATTTTACGCGACGATAAGTGAACACACCTATGACCGAGTCGGACAAGGCGATAGCATAGACAACAAAAGACAGCCACAACATCGGGCCAGATACTTAGTGAAGAACAAGGAAGAAAGGAAGAAAGGGCTGTAGTTCCAAACGTCATGGAAGCTTATTAAAGTCTATGACCTTCCGAAATTCGGACTTCTGGATCTTTTGCGCAGTGCGCAGTAGTGCAAAGGTGAAGCGGAGGCCGGGGCGGCAGGCGCCGAGCACGTTCTCTGGAGGTCAAAGCTGTTGATATCAACCTAGAATGGATAAAAAGAACTGTCTTGAATGAAGCTGCAGTAGTACACTGTCATAGCTAGTACATAATGAGGTAGCAGGTATAGAGCCAGAGAGCCTAATGAATAAACGCAGTCATGAATACGGCGATTGTACACACAACGGCGCATACAAAAAAACCGCAAGGGTAGCCAGAAGGATGCCCCTCCACACTTGCGGACCATAGCTGGTATTGAATTAGAGAGCTTCGCATAGAGCTTATGAAGAGATCCATACCCAGCCACCTAAAACAGGTCCTACACATCGTGCAAGGCTTCCAATAGTTTGGGCTAAACCGTTTGCGTACCCAACGGCTTCTGGTGGGGTCACTACAAAAAAACGACATCAGTTAAGAGGCGTTGAATCATTAAAAACGCACTGTAATTCAAAAGTACAGATATAGAGGTGAATGCAAAGGTCATTCCGCAATAACGAACAGCCCTGATGGGCTGATATCAGAATGTGAATGGAGGTCATAATTTGACTTCGCGTACGTGCTTATTGTAAGGGCTGAATTCTCGGATTTCATCAGACGCTACAATTACAGCCAGGAGTCAATCTCACCACTCATCAGCGCTAATTTAGAATATTCCGGCAGTGCGAAGGGCACTCGGTATAACACCACTGTTAAATATGCCGGTATGAAGAGGAAAGTGCCCAGACGATACATAGTCAAATGAGAAAGTCGACCTCTCGGAGGGCTAAAAACAGAAATGTTCATTTCCGACGAAAGGAATGAGAGCATTGTATACGGACCCAATAGTTCTAGAGACAGTTCACTTCTTCAGTGAGTATACGATGAGCACAGGAGAAACTCACGGGTACAGATAGAACTGATATACAATCTGCGCAAATCCCATTAGAGCAACTGAGATTAAATCAATACATTCCTGAATGATTCAAACGTTAAGCGCGTACTCAATTGCGCAAAATCTCCCGCGCTCAGACTAAGCCCGCCTGCATTATAATCACTGCCGAAAACTGTCCTTAGTGTACGTTTGAAGCCTTGGGAGTACCTCACACTCGCCTGACTAAATAGGACATGAATACTTGATCGTGTGTTGTTGTGTGCAGCGCCAGTAATCCGAATTGGATGATCAAGGATAATGGAAGCGGCGGAGATGGAGGAGGGCCTATGAGCGGAGTAGTCTCTTGTTCATCGAGACGCATTGCGGAGGGTTGCCTCGTTTCGAGGATAGGCAGTAGTTCCCGTTCAAGATCAGTCATCAGGTCAGTTTCGGAGTAGATGGGATTGTCCAACACAGAATGAGGCGTGCTGACTCCAGAGTTCATGAAGATGGACGGGATTTGTCGAGGAGTGGTGCAAGTGATATGGCCGACTTGATGAACATTGGCGCAAACTTCGAAGGAAACATCCATGGGCCTAGTAGCTGAAATACAGCGAGATTTTCGACGTTGAGAGGCAGCCAAGATGTTATTCGACCTTTGGTTTCGAGTTGCAAAAGCAGGACATGGAGTACAATCATCCCATCTTGAATCCACGCGTCCTCTGGCATTGTGTTCGTCACCTACTAAACCCTCTTCAAGATCATGAACTTCAGGTTCTGAGTGATCAGGTTGCGTTTGTTCAAGTCCTCGCGTCCCAATTTCGTTGCTTTCTTCAGCATTTAGGGCAGCGGCGACCCAGAGATCGGCAATGCTATTGACGGCGTTCTCGTTTGCCAACACTACCCTTTCCATTATACTGCGGGTATCCGATATATCATTGGCGTCTTGATATTCATCATAGAATCTAGAAGCTGACGATATCTCACTGGGATCCGTGTAGAGAAAAGGGAGGCTAGCTACTGCCTGACGATGTAAAGGACCGGAAGTCCGGCTAGAGGTGGCGTAATGGCTTCTGGTATTGGATCTCGAGCTTGACACCGTGGACGTTCGAGGGCCTATTGGAATTCCAGAAGAATTCGGGACGTAATGAAGGGAGCGATCTGGTACAGGTGATTCCAGCCTGTTCGCTGTCGGTAAAAATTCCGAAGACATGTTCCGTGGAAGTGTTCTGTTCGAAATTTGGGGCGCTTGGTCCTCAGAGGTCGTTTTATGAAATTCGGACTTTTCTGGATGGAACAGGACTGTAGTCGCTGTTGGCCCACCATCGCGGCCAAGGAAGCATGCCAAAAATGATCCTAGGTAACCGAAAACGATGAAGGCATAAAGGTAGACAACGATTGAGTATACTGACCGGCAAGAAGAATCAACCCTGCAAGTGTTGTAGGAAGAAGATATGGGAACCGTTTCAAGACGTTCCACTGCTGAAATACGGGCCACCTCTCGGCTGGGCGCTCGACTGTGAAACGTGAATTAGAAATGTGCAAGACAGAAACTGGATCATATGTATGTTTCGACTTACATGTACCTCCGATAATTGGACCCAGAAGACCACCGGACCCCCAACAAAAGCTATGGCATCAAATAACTTCAGCCATGCCCTCGGAAGACACAGCGAAGAGACTTTACCCAAGAATAGCGTATGCTCTACCTTCATTTGAACTATCGGTGATAAATACCACAGACCCTCTTGCCACACCAACTGCGCCCGCGAAAATACCTTGCACAAGGCGAATGCATATCGCTTGTCCAATAGTTTCAGATAGCCCAAATGCAGTCACAGAAAGTGCACTTCCAAACAGAGCAACGACAAGCACGAATCGACGACCGTATCTCTCGGCAAGAGTTGCCTAGGCGCGCCGAGAAGAGAATGATTAGTGCAGCTTGGCAGATGATGTGCTCTAGATGGCCCGAATACCTACCCAAAGTAAAGAGGTCAAGAACTGACTGAGGAAAAACATTGCCACTATTATGATTGATATTAGAGATGAAGAGATGGACAAAATAAGAGTGATTTACCTAGGATTCCAGTCCAGAACGCGGCATCTGCTTCATCTGAAAACCCAAAGTCTGTACGAAAAAGGATGATGAACAGGAGATGGTTTCGAGTGGGAGTAAAAAAGTGTACCTTTCACCATGAAGATCAAGAACGGCACCGACACATTCGAGGAGAGAAACTCTCCAAGCATAACCTGTATCAGAGGTGAGTGAGCTGTCGTTCAAGCTCTGTCAATGGAAACATACAGTTGAGAGAACCAACATTGGCAACATTGGCAAAGGTGTACTTGCGTTTTCTGTACATGGAGGTAACACACTGGGAACTGGAAGTGGTGGCACTGACGCCTCAGCATCGCCGTTTGCTTCGGTCATTGTCTCTTGAGAAGGTCGAAATATCTCCTGTGGAGGGGACTTGGGAGACGTTCGTTGTAGTGTTTACTTCGACGCTAGAAAGTAGGCAAGCGCGAAAGGTGAACAAGGTGAACGAGTAGGTCCACTGAAGCAGCTTTTTTATTCGTACGCACCAACGAGGGAACTGAAGCGGCCCTCGAGGAAATCCAAAGCCTGTGGTCCCATATGACAGTCCGCATTCGCTAGTACCGTAAAGAAGTAACTTGAAAATTCGGGAACAACGCGTTCAAGCTCCTTATCTCATCAGCTCCAATCTTCTGAGAGATATCCGCCATAAGTCCTGGACTGGCTCCTGTAAGTACAAGGGGGCGGATAAAGGACAACCGTGACAGGTGTGCACCGACATTCACGTCAGAATGCTGAGCGAATTTTGCCGTACGTGACATCAGATTCCTAAGCACGGATAGAGAGGTATTTTTAGTACTTACGAGTGTTGAGTCGAACAGCTATATTACCTCAACGCCGTTGGGTACCTACAGATTTAGAAAAGGAAGTAAGTAGTAACGATAAGCATAGAGAAGACTACAACACTATAACGATTTTTGGCTCAACTAGATGTCCTTCTTAGCTCAGTTGGTAGAGCGCGTCACTAGTAACAAGTAGACAACTTATGACGAGGTCAGTCGTTCAAGTCGGCTAGAAGGAAGTACTTTTTGCATGGATGGACTCTTTCGCCTTTCGCCTCTCATATCTTCAGTCCAATGCTAGAGACCTTGTTTGAGCAGAAGCGTTACAGAATACTAACAGTACAGTATGAATTGTTTCTGAGGGCCGGCTTTCTGGAGCATGTCTTTGCGTGTGTCAACTGGAAATACGGCTTGTGCTCCTTTGATATACTGCATCTATTGACATCTGTGTATATATAGCACCACTGAGGCGAAAATTGACGGCAAATTTGTCAATCTGGAGGGTATTGATACCCAATCCTACAATCAAAACCGTCTCTCCCGCTCTTAGATCCTTCAAAGTATGATATCTCGTCAAAACTGGATTGATAGAGACTGTTGCTATTAGTGGTGAGGTTTCTTCCACTGTAGCATTGACCGGAACACCAACTCGAGCGTATAGCACTAAATGTATTGATATGTAGCGGACGAACCATCGAGACCAAGACCGTGCAGAAAGTATTGTGTCCAGACATTGTTCATATTGATGGACATACTGGACAGTTGGAAGAAAGGGAGGAACGGACTCCGAGCATAAATAACGACGTATTGGTTCACAGTTCAGATATTTATTGAATGGTGAGGGTACGGATGCATCGAGAGCAATCATCTCACCGCCTGAACGCCGATATCGATATGAGGCGATGTCAGACGTTGTGAGATAGTCAGGCGACATACCTTCATGACCCATCGTGAAGTTGGCCAGACAGTCTAGTCAGTGAGTATCACACCTTTATTGAAACAGCTTGGTGTGCTTCATCATAGTATAACATATCAGCGACGCATTACCGTAGCGAGTATCTTTTCACCGGATCTATTATATCAGTCAGTCCAATTACTGTAATTCAAGAAGCTCCTCGATGGACACTCAATCTTCATCGCCTACAGATTTATGGATTGCGAATTCAGCTTTTATTAATGCCTTTGCGCCCGGATATCATCGATAGGCAATCATTTGTCCCAGTAAGTCATACATCAAATAAGATGTTATCGTATACTCTAGATGAGCGTAGTGATTGTGGCTCAATGGGAGGCATGTAAGGCTTGTTGGCGTGCGAGAATCTTGGAAGCATTTTGGGAGGTATGAACTGTGCCGGCGGCGGTTTAGAGGTTGGGTACACGCAGATCACCGAAAATTAAGTCACTCCGCCGCGCCGAATGATTGGTAACGAGGTCCTAAGTTTCAAGAGATTTTAGCAAGAGCATACCAGATTGACCCAGAACAGTCAAATGAGTTTGCATCAGAAAACGATTTTAACACTCACGTTCCAGGCAAAATAGCCTGACGAACTTCATGCAACATGCACATACTCTATTCGGATTTTGTCCTTTTTTGATGTCACTTATATAACCCTGTCTTTTACACCGTCCGGCGTCGACCGTCCCGCCTCGAATGAAAGGCAGTGCCTTGTAACATTTCAAGAAACGCCTTGATGAGATGGTGAGATGCAGAAAAAAATGACGCTTGGATTATGGAACCCCACTCACCACTCGCACTCTCGACTCCCTCGGAACACTCTGTCTGACTTCTACGCAATCTCAACACAAACGGAGTTTCAAAGGTTAAAGCTTGAAGATATGACCCCTCTCGTAGAATCTACCCCCTCATCCCCTCTCGAAGTCAATCCCCTACAAAGTTAATCGCTCTCCAACGAATGTACGCTGTACACGATGCTATGTGTTTTCGCTACGTTTTGAGCGGTCAGCATTGCTATTGACTTCAAGTTAGAGGTAACATATTCTGCTCTTAGATACTTGCTTCCCTGACTTTTTCACGGCTTCTATGTTTAAATCATGCAGTTGCTATTCACATACAAATATCAGTGCTCTAGAAGGGATTAACTACATATCGAGTTTCGGATTTTTGGAATACCGCCTGCGGGGTGTCGGAGCCAAAGGATACATACATATACGCGACAATCATGTCCATATTGGTCGCGACGGAGATCTTGATTGTGTACCGCATTGCCAGTGCAAGTACGTTGTCGAGTAAGTTCAACGTTATCATTTTTTCAGAAGAAATTCAACCATTCATGAATGATACCGCAAATACCTCCCTCTTACACCAACAGAACCTCTGAACAGACAAAGGTACCCAAGATCTCTTCACTGCTCACAAAGCTGAACATTTTTACAAAACCATCATCTTTTTTGCACGAATCGCGAATACCGAAGATACCTCGCCGAAAACATACAACTTGACCAGACAAACCTTCCCTCTTCACTCACCACCATGGCCATCTGTCTTCGTGCTTTTCGCCTTCTCATATCAAGCAACTCGGAAGTTATCCAAGACGGCGCAGTCGTTGTAGGAGGCGACGTGATAATTTCAGCGGGGGTATGGTCCGAAATTCAATCCACCTTGCCCCAGGCTGCAAGAATTATCAATCTTGGAGACGTGACTATGATGCCCGGCCTTTTTGACTGCCATGTTCATCTCTTCATGGAACCATCTTCGTTCCAAACTACAGACGTCGCCTCTCCACTTGACGCAGACCTCGTCGTTAGGATGGAGAGTAACTGCCTAAGAGTTCTCGACGCCGGCGTGACTACCGTGAGGGACTTGGGCTGCATTCGAACTCTTTCCACGGAATTGAGGGCGCGCGTTAATGCGGGCTTAGCTCAAGGACCCCGGTATGTTCATGTTGCTAATTATACCTATCATCATTCCAAATTCCTTTTGCTCCTTCCATTCATCCGACTGACAGTCTTGCCAGTATTCTCTCGGCCAACGCACCCATCACGGTCCCTGGCGGGCACGCCAGTTCCTGGGGAGGTACTGCTTCTGGCGTCGATGGTTGCAGAGCAGAAGCTCAGAAAAGGGTTCAAGAGGTAGGTCACGATTGCGGTTACTTTGATCACCTTGCTCTTCTTATTGGTATGTGCTTTATTTACCGGTCGACAGGGAGTCGATGTGATCAAGGTCATGACCACGGGTGAGTATTACATCTGACTTGCAATTTTCGCTGCAGCGTTTAGTGTGTTAGCTCGGAGTGGGCAACTCGACCTAAAGTTGTAGTCTACTACCGGCGTATCCTTGCCCACATATTCCTGTACACAGTATCTGACATTTCAAAATGTTTCAGGAGGTTTCCTTACCCTCGGTAGCTCTCCTGCAAAGGCGCGATACTCAGTTGAAGAGCTGCGTGTCATTGCGGAAGTAGCCCATACCCATGGAATCCCTGTCACTACCCATGCGACAGGTGTGGAAGGCATTGAACGAGCCATTGATGCAGGTTTCGACTGTATTGAACACTGCTCATGGAGCGTTGGTAATACTTTGACATTGCTATTTATCATCGTTGCTGCTTAATTCTCCTGCGTAGAGGGCGGAACAAAATTCAATGAAGAGATTGCCAAGAAACTGGTTGCACAAAAGGTCATCGTATGTCCGACAATGAATACTGCCTGTATGGAGAAGGATTACTACTGTCCTTGGGATACCCGTGAAAATGTCTTGCAAAACCTTACGAGTTTGCGAGAACACGGCGTGCAAATAGTCGTCGGCACGGACAATGGAATCGGTGTGTATAGATAGCGTTTCCTTTTTGAGTCAGCTGTTTGAGATATAGATATATTCTTAGTTGGATGCCCATTCGAAAGATATGCTGATGGGCTCTCCGTCCTCATCGAGGCTGGCTATACTTTGCGGGAAGTCATCGCATCTGCGACTGACAAGGCAAGTGAAGTATGTGGTTTATCTTCTGTTACAGGTAAATTACTCCCTGGGATGTCGGCCGACATCGTCGCTTTCGCTGGAAATCCTTTAGAAAGTGTCGAATCATTTTCGAAACCACGCTTTGTGATGGTGAAGTTGAAGAGATATTTGAGGCCTGTTGCTCTGTATTGATGTTTTGTTTAGGCACGCGGGAGAGAACACGCTCTTACTCCAATTACTCCAGTGGATAACGCCAAATTGGCTGCTGATGTTGCCAGAAAGCTCAGGAAGGGAGCAGGCCTTTCCATGGTGTAACGATTCAAATCATTTGGCCTTTCAAGTTATGAAAAAAACAGGAATAGAGATTCTTTGACATAGCGTGTTGCGAAAACAGGGGGAGAAGATAAAGCACTAGTGGGTATGTAAGTGTAATGAAGCGAATCGAGTGTAGATAGAATTTCAAAGACGGGTATTGGATGAAAGCTAAACCTACGCATTATCGTCCACAAGAAAATATGGTCCGTGAGTTATTCTGGTCCGATCGTTGAAATTGTTGTGAGCATTAGCCGCTCAGCCTAACTTGTAAGCGATGGGAGTGAGATTGTTCGGACACTGTCACCCATTGGGATTACGAGATACTCTTCTCTTCGGAACTCCCGGTAAACTCCCCAGCAAATTCACCTCTCTTCGAGCCGGTGTTGATGTCACTAACGGCCCCCCAATTACAACTCTTTATAGGATCACCAACTTGTTCGCTCACCAGAGAGAACTTCTCGTCATCAATAGGCCAATCCACGGCTCGAATTCGCTGTAAGTTTCCATCAAATCACTATCGCGGATTCTGTCTTTTGGGTTGCAGGTAAGAACATCCGAAACGCAGTCAACATGACCTCGGGAACTGAACCTAGGGATTGTACTGATTACGTCCGGAGAGAAACCAACACCGAGGACACCCCCTCCAGACTCCCTTCAACGTAGCCTAGCCGTGAGAGCGAATAAACTTATAGCCCCGATAGAACGTTTTATGTGGGAAAGAGCGATGGAGATCGAGGCTCTTTGAGGCTAAGAGGTTGGCCAGGTTCGAAATATTCGGCCCCCCCAATGATCATTCGGAGTTGGATTCTTTTGCTGTAGTTAAATTAATGAAATAATCAATCTCTGGATGGTCTGTAGCTCAAGATCATTCAAGCTAACCTCTCAGGCAAATTTTCATGCGAGATGACAGCCATTTATCTTCACACGAGCCACATGTAGAACCATATTCTCGAGTCCCGATATACTGTTCGAGCGATAGGCCCACGACATCCTCGTTGCTGCTCATCA